ATTTCAGAGAGAAGAGGCAAGAAGGCAGCGAAAGAGGAGCACAGCAGGGGAGACTCAGGGAGCAGAGGCATGAGGGAAGAGGTTGGCATGAGAATGCCTGGTGCTATAAGCATCCAGGCAGGAACAGAGGTCTGGCTGCATCTGTGCTGGGACATACACTGGGCACTTGTGAAGGGTTTCGTCTATATGGAAAACACCAATAATTGGGAAAATTCACTTAGCGTTGGGGTTAAGGGACAGAAAGGGATGTTCTCACTGATGCTTCTTCTCTTTTGTTGCACATAAAACCATGGTGGATACTGTTATGTTATGCACATGATGGATGGTTATTGTTGCTTCTGGTCCTGGATTATATACCTACAAAATAAGGCCATGTCTGAAAGGATGTCCAGAAGCCAAACCACTGTAGATTTTATCTTGATTTTCTAAGGCTTGCACTTTGCACTGGCCACCACAGCAGGGCTGTAACTTCTTTTGCCACAGGAATCACTCACTTCCCCCTGTGAATTGATTATGTTAAAATCTAGCAATTAACTACACAGAAAGATAATTTAATCTTTGAATCTGCTGCTAACGTGGAGTTACGTGACCACCACTTGCCATCATTAAATAAGTCCTTAAGTTTTCCCTGCCTGCAATGTGACCAATGCTGTTTCTGCTGTCTGCAGAATAACCCGGCAGGGTGGCCATGCCATACCACACTCCACAAATTAAAAGGTGACTTGGATTTGTTCTCACGAAGATCTCTGGTAGTAAGGACTTTTTTATCTAAGAGCAAAAGGCCCGAGAAAACACTTTGGACACTTAAACTAGAGTCCCTCTTTGCAATGACTCATATGTTTGGTGACTGTATTTAGCTTCTACAACAGTTGATTTGGTTGTGTTTTTTTTAAGGGGTGGATTTATCTGGAGGCATTAAACTGAGATCAGTTGCACATGATGAGTTTGAAGCAGGAGACATGAATGCAGCTCCTGCACTCAGCTCTGTAAGGAACCATATTTGATTACCAGAATGGTTCCTTTAGGCCCTAAAACCCATGAAACTGTACATCATCTCCTTGTCCTGCTCCAGGGACATCCAGAAAATGGATTCATAAATCCACCAGCTTCTGCAGACACCAATCCAATGCTGGGATGCAGATGTCTGCTTGATCTCAGACACAGGAACTTTCACGGCAGGAATTCAGGGCATATTAGGTTTCCTGTCTTCAAAGGAACTTGGGATCTTTTCTTCTCAGAAGCTTGAGTGCATGATACCATGCATCTCCACATTTCTACTTCTTTTGAACAGCTACAGGGCACTTGGCTGCTGGGCCTTGTCATGAAGAAGTCCAGCTTGAAGAGGGCATAGCTCGAGAGCCAGGTGTTGTGAAAGGGTTTTCAGAGACTTCCTTTCTCCTTCAGCAGTGATTTTCATCCCATGGTTGAAGTGACTGCCTGATCTCTGACCAGTCAGATATCCATCCTCATCTTTGGAAATAAAGGGCTTTGACCCCCTGGTTCACCAACATCACACCGACATCTACCCCAGGATGGTGTTAATCCGGGATGCCCCAGTCTAAGACGAATAGTCTTAGAGGTGCTACTGCCTTTTGTGGGCTAGGAAGGATTTCCCCATTCTCCAGAGACTCTGGTTTCTGCAGCTCCACTGCTATGGTGAAAATGATACCCTCAGCATTGAAGCTGAAGTTTAATTTCCTATCTACTGCTCAGGGCACAGATTTTCCACTGGGATGTTGGCAGTAGGTCAGAAATCTGCATTCCAAGTCGAATTGCTTTGAAAACTGTCCTGGGGCGGGACCCCATTCAGTCTGCTGCTTGCAAAACCCAGCCTGGCCACTGAAGAGAGTCCCAGCTCTTGCCCTTTCAAGATTTTGCATGAAAATCCCTCACATCCTTGAGTCAAAATCAGCTAGTCCATACTTAGTTGTTCTGTAATTGTCCTTTACAAAGGCCCAAGGAATGAAAGCCACCAGTAATGTTTGGTATTAGCTGCATGCCTCAGCTTTTGGACTTGAACAGAGTACAACTATCTTCCTCTTCCCAGTCCTGCTTTTCTTTATGGGTCTACAGGGACCTGCCAGGGGACAAAATGTGAATTATCTCTGATTTTGCTCTCTGAGCACTAAAGAGAAACAGTTTCAATTAGACAAATGAAAATGATTGTAATGATAATACAGACCTTTCCTCCTTTTGTGGTTATCTCCCAAAGAAGATTTCCTCTATCTCCCAGTGTGCCTTTCTTGATGTCCTGCAAGATGCAGAAAAAAGGCTCATAATGGTATGGGGCTGACAGGCTGTCTAAGAGCGGAGATCTGCCAACTCTGGTAACTTCAACTCTGTACTGGGCAGGGCCAGAAGCTTCCAAGAAAGATGGAGGCAATGGTGGAGTGGCATTTATTCTAACTTATCTTTGTTATTGAATGTAAATGCTCCCATCCCACTGACTGGTGCTCAGCTTGAGCAATTGCACCTCTCTAATTTGTTTTTAATTGTATTGAACATTCATGCTGCATTTCATGTCTTTTGGTGATACTGTGACCCAACTTCACGTCAGCATGGCAGGATTGTTCACGGAGAGTCATGCAGAGTAAACCAGTATTTTCTTTCATTTGCCCTATCTGCTGCCTTTCATTGCACCACACATCCCTCACCATTAAGCAGAATTGTTCCACAAACTGCTCAGGCAGACATGCCACACACAATTAAATCCATGTAGGCTTTTCCAGGGTAGATTTGCCTCTAGATTTGCAAGGCTGGGCCAGAGATGCATCCCTAGGTTGTGCAAGGATGCTGCATGCCTACAGGCATGGCTATGGACATCCAGTTGTGTTCTTGCTGCTGTGCCTCTGTGGGGACTGAGAAGGGATGGATGTGTTTGGGCTCTGCAAAGGGCACACCTGGATGAAGGTGGATCGGGATAACATAGCAGATAGGGCCTTCCCAAAACTGATGGATTCTATTTTCACACATACAGACATAAAGTTCACATGAACTTCCTCCCCAAGACACTCCACTCCCCCATCATGGTGTGGAGTTAGGGTGTCACTGAGAGCCTGCTGCAAATGCAGCTGAGGCTGCCATGTTAACACAAAGCACCAATTTGGCCAAGAGAGCAGAGATGACAATACAGCTTCTCTCTCCAGGAGCTACTGCTTGTGTGAAGTTTCTGCCTGGAAACTGTACTGACCTTGGCTTGGGAAGGAGCAAAGAAGAGGAAGAGACCCCTGCCAGCTTGCCCAGGGGTACCTGCATTCCCACGGAGAACAGCTCCTACGCATCTCTGTTTGAACACAGCCCAGCTGCCACCATGATGGCTCAGAAATAAAGGCGACTTTGTTCTGTAGCAAGCAGGTGTCTTCAGTTCTCCAAGTTCAAGAAAAGCCTTGAAGGACAAACTTCTTATTTACCTTTCACAGACTCCTAGAAATACACCCCAAATCTTCTGCCAAATGAGGGCTAAGAGCAGCTGATCTAAATGTTTCACCCCAAGAGGGTTGTGTCCACTTCTGCGCATGGTTTAAGTCCTGCTCTATTTTTTTTTTTTTTATCAGTCGGCTGCAAGGCAGTTGTAAGCCAAAGGAAATTTGGGATGTTCATTGCATATGTAGCATACAGACAGTAAAAGCACTCTGAAAAGCAGAGGCATTCCTCATTATCCTCCAGGGTGCTGCTGCTCCAGGAGGAGGGGTGCTCCTGTCTCTGCAGATTCAGCAAGTCTCATGCAATAGGCAAACTATGTACTGTAGCTGCTTCCCACTCCAGGCCAGTGGAGCTGATTTTGCCAAGGGGTGGCTGCCATTTCCCCCTCCTCCCTAGCACGTGCATACCTGCCCTGCACTGTGGCACCCACAGGTGATTGGAGGGCACACAGATGGCCACGACACTGTGGCCACACTGCAGTGCCACTTGCCTTTTGATTCACGTCGGCCTGCGTTCTGCCTTGCTTCAGTCACTCCTCTTGCAGGGCACTCCCAGTTTCTCCCACATCACCACTGCCCATGCCGGCTGCTAATCCTATTTATGCTGAACACACCAGAGCCAGATGGGGGGACTGCAGCAGCACTCAAAGTGCATCCACTGGTGCTGCTGGGAAATCTAGTCACAGGCTAGTGGATTTCAATTTCCCACATACCTTTTTCTCCCTTCTTTTAATTCTTTCAGGAGCAAAAACATTGAAGTGAAATACTTAACTCGCCCTCTCTCCCTGAGCTGGTGCCTCCCAAGGTTCCTTCCCAATGAACTGCAGGCTTGTAAACTCTGAGCTATTACACAGCTGCAATCTCGGCCACGGAATTTCGAAGGGGTCTGTGTTGTGCACATGCCTTTAACAGCATCACCCGCTCCGCCAGCTGATGGCTTTGTCCCCCTTGCGAGGGTTGTAGGGGAGGAGGGGGAAAAAACAGGAAACCTTCCTGCTTGCCAGGAAGGTTACAGCAATTCGTGGGAGCCGTATGTGCCAGAGGGTGCCTGCAGAAGGGCCGGGACGGTGTTTCCTGGGGCGCTCCCAAAGGATCCCGGCAGGAGAAGGAGCGGCCCGCGCCGCTCCGTCCTAACCCTGCACTCCTCGCGCCCGCCGCGCGCCGCTGGCAGCCGCCTCCCATTGGCCGCCGCTCGGCGGCGCCGGCCAATGGGGGGCGGCCGCCGCTGCGGGCCGTTGGAAGCGCGCCGCGGCGACCGTTACCCGCCGCCGGCGGCCCCGCGCGCGGGGGGGGCCGGGTGGGACCGCCCGGCCCGTGAGGGGCTGCGGCACCCGGGCCCTGCGTGCCGCGCCCGCAGTCGCCCTCCCCTGACTGTGCCTTGAGCCGCCGTCGGTCCCTCCTAGGTCCTGTGGCGCCTAGCGCTGGAAATTGTAAATCCAGGACCTTGGCACGGATGCGCGGTGGAAGGAGGTTTCCACAGCGAGTTGTGCCTGAGCCTTGCAGAGGCGAGAGGAGACTCCGGGGAGAGCTTATCGCTCTCTACAACTACCTGAAAGGGGGTTGTAGCTGGGTGGGGGTTGGCCTCTTCTCCCAAGCAACTAGTGAGAGGACGAGAGGACATAATCTTAAACTGCAGGTTTAGTTTGGACATTAGAAAGACTTTCTTCAGAGAAAGGATGATTAGACATTGGAATGGACTGCCCAGGGAGGTGGCGATTACATGTGCACATATGATGGTATTTGGTCATACGTTGGACTCGATGATCTCAGAGGTAGTTTCCAACCAAACTGATTCTGTGACTCTGTGATTCTACAGACAGCAGCAAATTCTGGGCCTGGTTCTAGAGCAGGTTCAGTTTGGTCCACCATGCAGTCCAAGGTTGTGATGCTGAAAGTAATCACAGGGTGACTTGGGCATTGCCACAATCTCTGGGAAAGACTGAGGTGCTGCTGGTCCGGGTGCTGTCTTGCTGCTGGAGGGAAATGGCAATGGCGCCCACAGACAGTTTGGCCTTTGGTGCTTCAGCCATGGCACACAGAGAAGCAGGAACAGCAAGGGGGTAGCAGGTCAATGACAAGTTGTCCAGGCAGATCAGGGACCTGGGCAGACGAGGCATGAGGGAGCAGGGAGCAGTGATACATGAGGGGAGAGAGCAAGAGCAATACAGGTCAGAATAGAGGGGTACCAGAGGGGTCTGAGAGAACCAAGAGGTGGTTGGATGATCACTTGAGCCCCTCGGGGTGCACATGCCCTGGACTGGACTGTGTGGAGAAGTGTGCACAGCATCTGTCCATCCTGCCTGAATCTTGTTAACATTGTTGAGAACTTCACTTTCATAAGGTCTAAAATTCTCTGCATTTTAGAGAGAGCAGAAGGACTGTCTGGAGTGTATGGGCTCTTCTTTCCTGGAATGTAAAGAAAACCTCGGCTCTGCAGCTGGAGTGCAGGGGGCTTCATTCCTTAGTGAAAGCAGAGAAGGGAAATGCAGATGTCACAGCTGGGACAGGAGATTTATCTTGGCAAGCAAAGAGGAAAAATACTTTCAAAAAGAAAAGAGAAAACTCAGAAGAATCCACTCCCCATCTTCACTGCCTGCCAGCACGAGCAGAACCTCCAACCTGCAAAGGCCTTTCGTCTCCTGGGCCTGGGCTGCCGCCCAGCTGGATTAGCCCCTCACTGCTTTCTCTTTGGAGTGAGACCATTGTGATGGGACCAGAAAGGCTGTGAGAACTAGGCTGATCCTGAAGAGAGGCTGTTTCCAAACAACTCAGCTGGAGGTGGGAAAGGAAAAGTCACAGTCAAAGGATGGAAGCATGAAAAGGAAAAGGAGGGACAGAGGCAGCCAGGATGACTACAGAGAAGTGGATCCAGGGAGAGGAAATCATCCCCTCCTCATCCATGCAGAGTGCCCCTGGGCTACAGGAGTGACACCTTAAGGTGTTCCATGCACAACCAGGCAGGGGAGAAGGCTTAGTGCCTCAGTCTCTGCTTGGGGCCTCCAGAGGTCAACACCAGCTCTGGGTGGGGAGAAACGTACAGTTTGCATTTGGATGTCTGAATGCCTTACATTAGCTCCCAAGATAACTGTTGTACAACAGGAAAGGGTGTTCAAATGAGAAGTGCACGCACGCACATACAGTGTGCTATTTAGACAACCCTAAGCATGAGGTCAGGATGAAAACATGTGGTGGAAATATGTTTGGAAGAGTCAGTGCCTATGTTGATCACCCGGAGTGGGAGGGAGCAGAAGCCAGCAGCTGACAGATTCTCACTCTCTCCCCATAGCTGAGATGGCCTCAGCTTGAGCAGATTCTCCTGTGGCACCAGAACAGCTTAAGGCTCTCTGTTGGGCCTAGAGATGTGATGGTCATTGCCTCTCCATACCTGTGCACACTGGCTAATCCTCTTTGGGCACTGCCTCCCCGTCCTCCTAGAACTGTGCAGGGGGGACGGGCAGCCAGAAATCAGGCTTGGATCAGGAAATCCAGCACATCCTCGCCATTGCATTTCTGTCCCTTGGCTGCCCCCTCCCTGACCGCTCACTGGTAATACAGCTTTGGAAACACATCCCGTGCTATTTCTTGGCTTTGGAGCATAGTTAGAAGGAGAAGGAAGGAGGGTGTGAAAGGGAGGGGGAGATAACAGGAGCGAAAAATGCAAAATGAGACTATGCTGTGAGCTTCGTATCCCATCTGGAAGCTGTTTTCCCCCAGTACACTGCACACCCAGTCCCTCTGGGCTAGGATGGTAAGGGTCAAGTTTCCCAGTTGACTGGTCCTCTTTACTAAAGCCAGGCCCATCTGCGCAAAATCTACCCAAGATGATCTCAATAGACTTGCAGAGTCCTTCATTGTCACAAATGTCTTGACCAGCCTTCTGAGGAGTGGGTGCTGGCTGGAAGGCACTCTTGAAGAGTTTAGGTCTTGAAGAGGCTGTGAGAGGATAAACCTGCTCTGCTCCTGTATCTCTGTCTATCCCACCTTCCTTCACATCTGAGTTTTGGGAACTCTTTCTTGGACCTTTCCTGGTCTGCTGAGATCATTGTTGCCATTGTGTCAGCAAAAGTCTCCCCAAAGCCTAGCATGGTTGTGTCATTTTGTGGCAGCACATGAAGGCCTTTAGCTGTGCTGGCCCCACTCTGGGTGGTAAGGGAGCACTGGTGGCCACCCAGCACCTTCTTTGGCATGTGACCTTCCAGCCAGGATAAAGCTGCTATCCATTTGGTCAGGTGATAAGCCTGCTTCTGTATATCACTCAGAAGCTCATGCTCTGCCATGATCTGCACAGCTGTGAGACACCATACCCTGGGACATGCAGTTTCCTGAAGCCTTCTTTCTCACACGTGCAAAGGAAGAGTATGGCTGAAGCCTCTGAGTTTTGCCAGATAAGTGCAGCTCCCAAAATGAGGCTGGGGTGGGACAGAGTTTGCCTGTTCTGGGTTAGGAGGCTCAAACTGAGCTAATTAGCAGTGGCTGTGATGGCATCTGTCCAAAATAAACTCTGGGCTGCTCTTCACTGTGCCCATCACAGTTTAATCTGGACAAGAGGACTCTTTTTCCTCTTACCATGCAGTTGCATGCACAGGTGTCTTATATTAATAAGAAATCTAAAATTAACAATACCTGTTGGATTCAGGAGAGAATGGAGCCAACCCAGAGACCCAGCAGTCTTCCTGGGATGTGGTGACAGCTTCCTGCTGGTCCTGTAGTTTCCATTGTGGATATAGCCAGCTACAAAGCCATGTCATTTGTTTGCTTTACCCTTCCTGCTTATGCTTTCCTCTGCTTCTTGCCAGCTTCTTTGAGTAAAATAGCAATCTCCAGCTCTATGTCAGCTATAGGTGCTCTTGCTCCTTGAAGGTGTCGGATCCTTGGTGCCCCCTTTGATAATTACCATAGTTATTCCCAATCTCATAGGCTATCATCCTCTCCACCATCTGTGTTTGGAGGTGTTGGACTGGTATATGTATGAGTGATGAGAACTGAAATGGGGCTGCTTTGGTGAGAAAGCTTTGCCAGTATTTAATTGTGATGGAGGACAAGACCCAGGAGCCCAGAGAGGGGTAGGTGCCCCAACATTTCTGGATGCCCAGGGAAGGTGCAAGTTTCATTCTTTGCTTATCACCTATGTTTGCCCTGTCCTGTGCAGTAGGTCTCTGTCTCTTGGGAGAGAATGGTCTCTTGGGGACCTAACTCCCATGTCTCTTGGAGAACAGTGTTGCCTTCACCCTTGCTTCCAAGCAGTGAGGTCCTCCAACAAACCTGTTTTTTTGTTTAGGAATATAGCCAGAGGCACATCTCTGCCTCTTCCCTCCAGGTAGGTTTGTCCTACAATGGAAAGACTGTTGACTGACCGAGAGAGATCGTTGTTCTCAGTGTGGGTGGGATGCCACTAAAAGATAATCTGTGGAGCTACTGCATAAATGCATTCTCTTGACTCTCTTTACTCCCACCTTTGCCTTCGTTAATGTACAGTTGTGAAAGAAATTTGAAGCACATGTCAGAGTTGCAGACAGCTCTCCCCACAGCTGTCCATCCAGCTCTGCTTCTCCTCCAGGGCTACACAGTGGTTCTAGTTTTGATGGTCACAACAGTATATATGATTTGAATGCCTCTTGTTTTATCCTAGCTCTGCTATGCTGTGGTGTGCCAGAACTCTGAATCCCTTCACTTCTCTGTGGTTATATTCTCACCCTTACCGTAAGGCTATCGTGTTCATATCCTGTATTTGCTCGTGTTGTTTAGAGAACACAAGACAAAGAACAGCTGTTACATGAACAGGCGCTCTCTGGGGTTAATGCTCAGGATTCCAAAGTCTTTATCCCTCTATGCTGTAGGATAGGACAAAACCTGTTTTTCTAGTGGTTTTTAGATAACTGTCTAACCCAGTTTCATCTGCTGACTCAGGTCCCTCTGAAGAAGTTATGCTCTGCACGGATGGAAGGTGTTTTCTGTCACTTGATTCAAGTGCAGAAATGCTTCTAGGCAACTTGGAAATGGATGGGTAGATTTTACCAAGCTACCCCACCAACTCGCATCCGCTATGGGAACAAGTGGAGAAAACTTCAGCCCAGACATCCAGGGAGGGCCTCAACACTGGGATTTAGCATGAGCGTGCCTTTTCTGCCTTACTTTCACATGCAGTGTCTGCCCTCCAGGGAAGCCTTGGATCATGGTGTTGGGCTGTCACTCCAGGCAGTCAGAGGACAAGTGGGAAGGAAGCAAAGGGAGAGAAACCTCCTGTCAGGCAGAATGCACGTGGTAGGGACTCCACCCCCACTTCCAGCATGCTCTGTGAGCATCTGAGGTTTTAAATTGAGCAGCTGAGGGATGATGATGGAGGGTGAAAGGCACTGACATGTTCAAGATTGCTGCAGCTCACCATCTCCCTCCCCCACTTGTTGGAAGCATGGGTCTGTTCAGCTAGAGCCTACTTCACTCCCCAGCCTTACCCCAGCCCTCTGACAGCCAGTGGAATGTTGACAGAGCTACTGTGCTCTGGTAAAACAAATATACGTTCCAGTAGGAGCAGGAACCTACAGGCTCCGGCATCCGGGGTCCTCTGGCCACTGCCTCCCTCAGTCCTAGCACTGATGAAAGAAAGGACTGCATGCACCCCGTGCTTCTCTAGGAGCCAGGCTCCTTCCTGAGCTCAGCTCTCACACTGGAATTCATTGGCATTCATGTCTCCACTCTAGGATCTGTGTGCTCTCTCCCACTCTCATCCATACCCTGTTGCTCTTGGTATTTCAATATACTGCTTTCAGTGCCTTTCTGCCCACCCAGATGCTTTTCCAGGCAGGGGGTGGGGGGACAGACCCAGTCCGACTCTGCTGAGCTCTCTCCAGTTCATTTAAGTTACACAGTTCCGTCTGTGTAATAGTCACTTGAATCTATCTGTCTTTTCTTTCCTCTCCCTGAGCCAGAAGCCTCAATCTGCCAACAAATGGGATAATTTTTCAGCTGGTGTTTGGCAGCCATCATTTTTCTCCCTGCCCAACCCATACTTTGTTGTAGCAAATGGAAAAGTTAGTGATTTGACTTCTGAAAAAGAGGATGTGCCTCAAAGGAAGCAGGTTCATTGTAGTATCAGGAGCCCAGCTCTGCAGCAGAACTGGCCAGATTTACTAACTGTTACTGGAATGATTAGTGGAATGATTGTTTGTTGTTAACAGCCCATCTGTAGTGTTTAAACTTCATCGGGGAGCTGAATTTCACAGGCATTATCTGGCTGGAGTACAACCTCATATGGTCCACAGAGGGGCTGTTAAATCCCAGAGGAAATTAAATACAACAGGGGGCCTTCCTGTTATGTTGATCCAACCGATCTTTTTTTCTCTGATAGAAATCAGCAGCTGGGTTGATGTTCTCTGGGCCATCAGTGTGGCTATTGCTGCTGGCAGAGAACATGAGAGAGTGTCTGTCACCAAGGACAGGCACTGAAGACCATGATTTTCTGCCACACTTGCACTTTGTCATCACAGGAACTTCTTGCCTTGTGCTCTCTTCAGTTTGTTGTCACAGCGAGATGGTGCTAGGAAGATGCAGATAGGTACTCACAGAGAAAGGAGGAGATGAGAGAATATAGAAGTTTCACGAGTGTTTGTGGCATAGATAAACAAGCAGTGATATACAGCACCACGTCCCTTTCTGTCTTAATTAAAGGTGTTTTTGTCAACCTGATGCAGGCAAGGAATAGGAACTGCTTTTTCCCATGCAAAAAGTGTTGCCACTAAGGTTTGGCTCTCAGTGCAGAGGAAGGCTTTCAGATCCCCCTTGGAGTTGACACTAACGCTCTCTCTCCCTTTGTCTTTTCTCAGCATTTCTCAGAGAACCTGGATCACTTCTCTGACAACATGGAGGATTTCTCCAATGACCTCTTCAGCAGTTTCTTCGATGACCCAGTACTGGCTGAGAAGAATCCACTGCTGGACATGGACCTGGATCCACCCACTCCAGGCATCCAGGCAGAGCACAGCTATTCCCTCAGTGGAGACTCTGCTCCCCAGAGTCCCCTTGTGCCTGTCAAGGCTGAAGATAATACTAATGGTGAGCATCAGATAAGCACACTGCACAGCTTTGGGCACATCTGTTAGCAGAGGCTCTGGCTGGCTTCCATGTATAAGGACAAACTGGCTATTCCTTGGGCTTGCGCGTGGCTAATCCAGGGAAGAATGTGATCTGCAGTTGTCAAATGCAGTTGTATGTTTTTTCCTTCCATTTGTGCTTTGACAGTCACATTACTCCTTTGCCGGGCTTACTGTTATTTATGAGGATAATAATTGGCTATGGTTCGGTGTGCTGCCAGCTTCTGACAAGCAATAGACAATGTCTTTTTAGGATCCTGCAAACTTGGGTGTGGATGCCCTAGATCCAGCTCCATTTTGGCATCAGGCAGCAGGGTTTTGGCTTGAACATAGGAAGCATGAGTGCTGGTATATGTGAAAGGCTAAGTGGCTTCTTTACTGGCAGATTTTTTAGCAGGAGACAGAGAGGGACAGTAATTTCAAGATTTATTTTTAAAACAATTCATTTCAGCATAATTTATGATGACTGGATATTTTTAGAGCCGTCCTTGCAGAGAGTCCTGTAATTTGTGGGACTGTGTGGGTGTCCCAACAGCTGATGGACACCACGCTGCCTGAAAAAGCAGTGGCATAGGCTCAGTATACACAGAAGAAAGCCATTCCTTTGAGCAAGAGTGAGACCTGGGACAGAGGCTTCCCTCTAATGGCCAGGAATGATCCCAGCTCTCTGGTACAAATGTCAAGGCAGGAGAAGAGGAGGCTGGCCTCCACTGCCTCTTTGGTCCCTTCAAAGGGCACAGCTATCTGCCACGTTCCTTAGGGCAACTCAGAAAGGTGTTGGGAGAGAGGCTTATGGCAGGCCAAGCAGCTCTGCCTTAGTATCAAAAAAGCTTTCCACTTACATTTCTTCTTCCTTTGCTTTAACTCCAGTACAGTCTTGGAGGGGGCAACTAAAAAAAAACCAAACCAGCATGAACAAATAAACACATCTTTATTTTGCCCCTGAAAATGAATAGGAGGAGAAGAGACTTGGGAATGACAGAAGGAAAAAGGATGGTTTTGTAGAAAGCTGTGAAATTAAGACTGCCTACATGAAGCTACCTCAGGGACTCCTCTCTGAGACACTTATTACCATTTCTGCTCCTCTCCTCTGTTTGGACATGCCCCTCCTTCAGCTCCTGTGTCTCAAAGGCAAGACTATGACTCTTGTGAATGGAGTGTGACACTGATACCCTTGGGCAGAGGCCAGCACAGAGTGTACAGCACTCAACTCAGGAGAGCTTGAGATGCACCTGGTACTTGCTCTCTTGAGAGTGCAGATCAGCTTTATACAGGAAGTAAGGCAGGTATATGAGTATCTGTGCACCCAGTCCTGCAGCTCCATAATTCAGCTCATCTTTCCAGGGCTTTCTTGGCTCATAATTGGATGTGAGTCATATTCTAGTGAAGCCCTGAGTCAGATCCAGTATTTACAACACTGTGCAGTCCTTTTGGCACAGTTCTATCCAGTCTCAGTCCTTTTAGACATTCATTTAAAATTAATTGTCCAGGAATGGCTTTTCTTTAACATTAAGCAAGCTCTGCTTGGTCTGCAGAGCTCCTCAGGAATGCCCCCGCTCTGTCTAGGCTTGGAGCTGGCTGAGGCTTGCTATAAAATCAGCTTTCTCCCAGCTTTTCTGCAGATCTCCAAAACTTTTCCAAATCCTGCCCCTTCCCACATGGTTCCCACAAACACAGGTCAGCTAGAGCAAGCCACTGGGTGCATTGTGACCCCGCTTATCAGCAGAGTCTGCTTTCCAGATGGTTTGTGCATACGGACTGGCTGCTTCAGTTGTCAGTACCAGCCCTCAGTTTTGCAGGGTGTGATTGGATGCCAGGAGCAGGGGGAACCAGGGTTTTGCAGAACAGCGGGTGGTGGACCAGCCCTGCTGTTCAAGTCCTGCTTCCTCATTGCTCTTTGCCTCACCTCCTCAACCCAAAGCAGCTACAGATATCTCTCAGCTGTACTTCTTCCTAATATGTACAGAGTATAGAGTAGAGGGGGAGCTTCCTGGGATGCCTCATCCACCAGCATATAGTGAAATCTGCAGTGGTTACAGACTGGCCAGGCCTCTGAAACATCCTCTCAGGCAGCAGAACACAGATGTGTCCACACAAGATGCCTCCTCCTCAATCCCTTATTGACCCTCTGATGGCCTATGTGTTTCTGATTCTGTAACCCAAACACTCCCCAGATAAATCTTGGAGGGTGGGAAAGAAAGCAGGGTCAGAATGTAGACAGGAAATGGGAAGACAGCACATACTTATTTGGGTGTCTGTTCCTTAGCCTGTCTGGACTGACAGCACTGGGGGCTGCTCTCTCACTGAGTCAAGTCTCACTGGGGAGAGCTCTTGGTGGTCTGCTCTCCCTTGCTTCAGCAGCAGCTCTCACAGAGGGTGCCCCACACCTCTGAGAAAAAGACGAATGCAGAGCTTTGCAACAGAAAGGGAAGATGAGGAAGACGAGGCTTCAAATCATAGTAAAGCAAAATGTTCCCATACTGGGCATAGTGAAACCATAGAAGAGTTTAAATGGGGGAAGCTGTGGATGCTTCATTGCCTTTCAGAGCAGTAAGATCAAGTCAGACAACCATCTGTCAGAACTGACACAGATGCGGTTGAACTTGCCTAGAGCAGCAGGATAGACTGGAAGATCTCTCAAGGTCCTTTGTGACAGGCAGAAGTCAGTCCACGTTTTCTGGACACAAACACTCGTGGCTGTGTACCACCTTGCCTCCTTCCATCAGAAAGGGTCTGTCTGCATACCAGAGGTATGCAGGGGGAGTTGTCTGCATACCAGGGGACTTCAATACCAGCTGCAGGTTTGGTGTCCTTTGCAGGACAGAGAAAACACAGTCCACTCTGTGTCTGCTCGGAAGCCTCTCCATTGTTATGTCTGTGCAGTGCAGCCCTGCCTGAGACACTGCCTGATGACATTGGCCCTGCTGCATTGTGGGAAGCTCTAGGAAGTGATCTAGCAGCACTGAGAGCAGCACTCACAGCTAATACACACACAGAGCAGCCACAGGAGCTGTGTCTGTGCTTGAAGATGTCCAGTCACAGAGGCAGCTGGAAGGAATGAGCATGTGCTAGAGATACTTGTCTAGGCAGAAAATAAGAGGTGCTAGACCAAAGACAGGAAGATAACATATTCCATTGGCAAGGGCAGCACTGTGTTAACTGATATAATCCTTGCCCAGGCTTTAACACCACTCTGTCCAAGAAAAAGCCAGAGGCAGGATTCTGCCCTGGTGTCTCCAAAAGGCAACAGAGGCTGACTTGTTAAGGTACCTTTAAGTTTAGATCAGATGGCAGCTCCACATGAACAGCTGTTTGCTTGTATTCTTTGTGCAGGCTTTTCTGGACCTGAGAAAGGATCTTTCTCCCCCTCTCCTCTTGCCAGGGCATCTTCTGCACTGCGGCCTGCATGCAGAGCTGATGTGTGCAGCAGATAGCTAGGCAACATCCCTGGGTCTGACTGAGAGTGCTGCATGCAGAGAGCAGTGCAGAGGGGTCAGAGAGTGAGTTGGACTATGACCTCATGTGGAGGCAACTGGGGCACTATCTGATGACATGCTTAGCAATAGTTTGTCCTGTGTCAAGCCAAATGTGTTTCTGGTTTTCAGATAAAAAGGGAAAGGGAAGGCTTGGGGATTAAGAAGGAGGGTGCAGGCTGTAGGCCAGCCAGGAGTAGCTTTTTGGCAGGCTGAAGTGTTTGAAGAGCAAAGACCAAAACTTCAGAGCAGAGTTCAGGCAGCTTTCCTGCCTAGCACTCTTTTTTCCCATCTGAGCTGCAGTTTATCCGATGCTGCCTGAATCCCAGTTCCTGTGATCTCTACTTCCAGTGACAAGCCAGGCTCACGTCTCAAATGTGCACAGGACAGAGTAGGCAGGGAGCAAGTTCTCTTCAGACACTTCATTTCCCTCACTGCTGCTTCTTGTCCCTGCTAGCAATGGCAGCATGGCACAGCTGCAGGCAGCAGTTCTGCTGAGCAGCACAGGGTGAAGGAGGGAGTCTCAGAGGTGAGACTGAGGGGACCAGCTCACAAGCAGCCTCACAAGCAGGTGCCACATTGTGCTTCCTTCCACAGAAATGGACCTTCCTCCTTTCTGTCAGGCAACAAAGCCCATCATCCAGATGATGGCACAACATCATCTGGAGGCCAAAGCAGCACTGTCAGCCTTTTACTGTCATCATGCTTGCCCTCTCACCAGCTTTCTAGCACAGAGATGGTGCTATTCTTGGTAACACACCTGGCAGCTCTGTGATGCTGGCCATGCTGCCTCAGGAGCAACAGCCCAGCATCCTCCTCTCACTGAGCCCTAAATATAAATAAGCTCCAGAGGATGAGACATAGACATTACTGGGGAAAGAAACCCTGCAGCTGTCCTCCAGAGCTTGGGCTGCACAGTCAGAGCACAGCAGAGATACAATTCCTCTAGCTCTGTCCTGTCTGCTCCCCACACGCTGGGGGTGCACTCCCTTTTGTACTCTGTGTTGTGGGCCTGCACATGCTTGTGTGATTACAGTGCTAAACTCGGAAGGACAGCCTCCTCAGTCAGGGGGAAGCTGTCTGCATGGCTTTTTTTTTTCCTTGCCCTGTTCTTGCTAGAGTTTGACTCTCACGTTGTGCATGTTTCAGAGCTGGAGAATGGAGTGTGGTCGCTGGGGCCCAAGCTCTGCTCCATCATGGTGAAACAGGAACAGAACCTGGCTCTAGACCTGCCTGAGTCCCAGCTAGCTGCCAGCTCCATACCAGTGCTGAACCTCAACCCTCTGCAGAGACTGCCAGTCCCCGAGGAGGTGAGCCCATCTAAGATCCATTGGGAACCTGGGCTCTCACACAGCAGCACCCTTGGTGATGCAGACTCAGCCATGTGACTGCAGGATCTGCAAGGTGATTTAGCTGCTGGACAGAGAGGAGAAGGTGATACAAAGCCCAGATACTGCATTATTTGTCATTCTCCTCTTGAAATGGCAGTCAGAGGAGCAGCATTCCTGATGTTGGCTAGAACTGTTCTTGATTTCTGCAGTGAAGCTAGAAGACAGCTTATCCTTCCAGAGAAAATGGTGAAACGAGGATTTTCTCCAGCACAGGAGGCTTTGCGATCTTGGTTAAATATAAGCCCAGCTCCTTGGCACAAAAGCCAAAGGCTTTAAGCTTGCACCCGATGGAGATCTGTCCCCTCCAATCTGCCAGTATTTCTATAGCCACTCTTGGTTTATTTTCATTTTTCAGAAAACAGTGTAAAGTAGTGCGGTGCCAGTGACCCCACTATTCCTGAGTATAGACCCCTCCTCTGCCGCTGTCTTTTGGACTTGTCACTTGGCCTCTCACTTTTCGTAACTGCTCACTGGAAGTGGAGGTTCCACTCCAGGTCCTGCTTGGTTTTTCCTATGAAGCAGCAGGAATTATTATTTCTATGAAACAAGGGGCCAACTCTTTTTGTCATATCCAGGTTTTTAAGAAATCTGTTTGTCTGAAGGAGGTACAGTTATGTCACTGGCATCTGGGTGTAAGTCAAGGGCTCAGTTCGGCCGGCCTTGAGTCCAGCTGTGTTCATGAGAAGAACCTTGCCTATCTTGAAGCAACTCAGTAGATAACAGTAGAGCATCTCTGGGGTTCACTTCCTTTTTTCACTCATGCTGATCATCTTCCCATTTAAGCAGCTATCCAAAACAAATGGGTTTTTCCAGCCAAAACTGTGCACAAACTTCCTCTATTATTTACACAGCTTGAACTTGCTGTGCCCTCAAAGCTCTGCTGTGTGCTTAGCAGCCATTCCATGGTCTTCTCTCAGCTGTGTTTACAGTCTGGAGGAGTTTGAAATGTGTCTGTTTAGTGTAAAAACTCCAACCTATGGTGGGCAGGGGGCTGGCAAGCAAGGGAGCTGAGGGGCAGCGTAACCCAGATGGGAATAAATCTACTCTTTATTCGACTCTCAGTCCCCTCTGATTGGAAACAGTTGACCAGTGACCGTGGGGAAAATCATGTGAGCAGGACAGGGTGGTTGTTCTGTTTCTGTTCTGTATAACCTCTATATTCCCATTTATAATAAAGGCAGATCAAAGAGGGACTTTGCATAGTAACACATGGATTGGTTTAAATTACACTGTCTGGGTCTATCAAAATAATTGCCAAGGATAAAAGTCATCTCCCTTTTGGAGGTACTCAGCTCAGTGCACTGCTTGGCAGCACAAGCATCTGCCTCTGCCTTTTCCTCTGCAAACGTATTTGCACTCTGTGTGCCCAGCAACTGAGACTTCAGAGGCTTATGTTTGTACTCTTGGTTTCCTTTATGTGTGGTGAGAGGCTGCTTTGGAGCAGAGCTGTGAGGTGGGGCAAGACAGGCAGCGGGGGAGCAGCGACTGTGAACAGAACTGGTGGGAGCCTTTTGGGTGGGGGAGGCGAGGTGTTTGGCAGTGCCCAAAAGCTCTTTCTGCTTCTTTTCCACAGATTCCCATAGAAATGACTCCAGCACCTGTGATCAAAGCTGAACCCAAAGAGGTGAACCAGTTTCTAAATGTTCCTACAGGTAAGAAGATAGAATTTCCTGGTCAACTATATTACTCAGATATGGATGGTTATTATATAGGGAGAAAAGACAACACTTGAGGTCAGAGCCATGCATACAAGGTAGCATTGGGGCACAGAATAATAGAGGAGTGAGCATTGCACTGTTCCAATGCAGATCAGTGTCTGGACCAGCAGCCACACACAGAAATTGTTCAGACAGGGACTCCCAGGCAAAACAGGCTACTTCAGAGTTGGAAATATGCAAGAGTGCCTTTAAAATCCTCAGAGAGACTGTAGAGTTATCCAAAAATAACCATCCGAAAGTCAGGAAATTCAGGATCCAGTTTAATTTGAAAGAGACCCAAGCATCTGAAAATCTGCCGATGCACAAATGAAAGCACTATAGGAACTCCCACTACCGCAGAGAGACATTCCTTACGCATATTCCCACTTCCATGAAGGCCCCCAGGGCTCTCCAGTACAAAGTGGGGACAGTTTTCAAGTGCTTGGAAATTAACTGAGTGATCAGAGCCCCTTTGGATCAAGTGTGCTGGCAAGTGTGTGAGCCCAGCAGTGCTTTTGGAAGAGCTTTTCTCTCACAGAGCTTCCTGTACTTGTGAACATCATGGGCTTTGTACTTCATTTTGGTTGAACTGGAGTACCTTATTGTTTTGTAAATACCTTCAGTGTCTTGGCAAAGCCCCTACCAGCTCTCCTGCAGTTCCTAGTTTAGCACATTTGAGGTCAGTCTCACTTCTGTCTTGGGCAGTGCTCAGTCCATCCTGGTTCTCAGACCCACCCCATCTTGTGAAACTCATCACCCTCTCCTTTCTTCTACCCTCTCCTATGCCTCTACCAACAGGCTGACATGAGAGCCATTGACTTGACCTCCTTATTTCTCAGTAGATGACCTGGTGCAGATGCCTCCAACTCCACCCAGCAGCCATGGCAGTGACAGCGATGGATCTCAGAGCCCTCGGTCCCTGCCTCCCTCCAGCCCAGCCCGGCCTGCTGCTCGCTCTTCTACTGCCATCTCCTCCTCACCTCTCCTCACAGCACCACATGTAAGGAGGCAGCAGGACATCACTGGGACACAGGGCTCCTTGGTGCTCAGAGGGATTTGGAGGCTTTCCAAGGCTCACATAGGGGATCCTGCCCTTGTTATGGTCTCCAAGCTGCAATGCCCTGGCAAAGCAATGTGATGTCTTAGCACGGGGATGTGGGGACAGGATGGTGAGGAGTGAGGAGAGGCACAATGAGTCTTGCATAATACCTACCATTAGCTACCTTGTTTTAGCAGGTACTGTCTTTCACCCCCGACCTTGGGAAGTGGCCTATGCACTAGAGGACTTTCTGAGGAGGTTAATGGGAGAGAAAGGAATTATTGAGAATTCCCGTAACCAGACCATTTTATCCATTGCCCAAAAGTTCTTTGGCAGGGTCCTGCAGTAGAATTGTGTAGCCAGCCTCACCATGAAAGAGCAGATCCCCTCCCAAGTAAAAGAGGAAAAGAGCTGCTGAGCTGTGCCCCCATGATCAGGTTGAGAGCAGAAAAAAACACTGTCCTGCACCTATTTAGTATCAGTGGGAAGCAGTGTATTCTGTTCTGATGTATACAGTCTCTGGATGCTCTGCAAGGCTTTAAAGAGGATCACTGGGGTAGAACTCCTTGCTGACACTGATGGATGTTCTGTGTGTGTTTCAGAAGTTACAAGGAACGTCTGGCCCGCTGCTCTTGACTGAAGAGGAGAAGCGCACCTTGATTGCCGAGGGTTACCCCATTCCTACCAAGCTGCCCCTCACCAAAGCAGAGGAGAAAGCACTGAAGAGAGTCAGGAGGAAAATCAAGAACAAGGTGACTGCAAAAAATGTAATCATGCAGTTCCCATGATTCCAGAACATCCTCAGCTGACCAGTGCTATAGTTACCCTCACCTCCTCAGCTGCACTGCAGCTCAGAAAAGGTGGCATCCAGCCTTTGGTACATTAGCACGACCTCCCAGCCCACAAAAATGGTGCCATGGGTCATCTCTGCATGCTTGCTCTGCATACAGCCGTATCCGGGAAGTATGGCTTCCAGCCCAGCTCCTGGGAATGTGTGGCCTTCATAGGGCCCACAAGCCAAGGCATCACAGATCAGACTAACTGGCCTGGTCAGTTCCCTTGCTGGTGGGGGCAGGGAAACCAGAGCCATTGCATGATGCATGATGCACAGAGCTCATGAGCCAGGCAGAGGCTGTGAGACTGGATACTAGTATAGGAAAGCATCCTGTGGGAGAAATGGTGAGAGCCTGAATTAATCACCAGGTGACTCATAAGTGATCTGGGGTAGAATCAGCCCAGATGGCCACAGCACATACCCATGTGCGTCAGAGGAGCTCAAAGCAACCCTAAAGATGCTTTCGGCAGTGAGGGACATACTGCAACAAATGGTTGTGGCCTACAGGCCAAGAAAGGCTGCATACCTACAGCATCCATCTCTCCCAGTTTTGGCCTGGAGACCAGTAGGAATGACAGACTGGAAGGCGACTTCCCCCTTTAGAGTGCTGTGTGTGCAGGGAACAGACAAGATGCATGAGCCACAAAATGTCCAGACGTTTACGATGCTGATTCTTCTCTGATGGCTTGCCTCCCTCCCAGATCTCTGCTCAGGAGAGTCGTAGGAAGAAGAAAGAGTATGTGGAGTGTCTAGAGAAAAAGTAAGTTTCTTCTTCTCAGTCTTATCTTCAAAAAAGGAATCCTGTCCATGCACAGCCTTCCTTTCTAGTGTTTTGTGAATTGCTAAGAAAGTATGATTTCTTGCAAGGCTGGCTGCACAGGAGTTTGGTTTGGGATCCTGCCCCTATTCCCCTCCTTCCTAGAAATCTTCTTGTGGGATAAAGACTGCTCAAGAAATTTTGTGTTTCCAACTGCTTAGTTTGGCTGGTCCCCTGCAAAACACAGGCCATTTTGGCTGCCAACAAGGTGGGATTTTGGATAAGAATCCTGTTTCCCCACTGGAAGTTGTTTCTATTTTTTTTGTCCCACAAGCAGTGGGCTCTCTGAGAGTGCTACTCATGGCTTTTCCCCTTCTCTTCCCATGAAGGTGGACACACTTGACAGCAAGAAAAACCTTGCACTAGAGTTATTCCCCACACTCCCTCCCCTTCCACTCTCTGCATTAGCTTTGTTTTTCTCCTTGCAACCCTGAAGTCCTGCATGTATAGCAGGCATAAGCTTATGGTGACATCACATAACACTGACAGGGTAGAAAATAACTTCTATACTAGCAACCCCTAATGGGCATTCCCATAATGGGCAAAGAAGAATGCTAGGATCCAGGAGCAAATTCATGTTTCTGTATAAATACCATCTTCTTCTCAGTTCCTAACACCATCTGAGATCAACAAATGGAAAAAAACAACCCCCAAACCCAAACTTAATTAACTCTTCTTCCTGATGCTACTTGTTTATCTTCTCTAGTTGCACAGAAATGCTGAATTAAAACAGATGACTTGAGGCACCTTCAGGTTCTCACGGAGCACCTCAGTGTGCATGTGTGTGTCCAGGCATCAGAGCGCATAATCTCCAGCTAGTGTCCCACATTGACACCCAGATCCTTCAAGCTGGAGCTGGGGAGTTGGCTGGCCTTGCTCAAGGGGCAGGTCCAGGGCGTTCGGTGCTGGGGCCTGTTTCCCAGCTGTGGCCGTGCGTGGTGCCTGTATGTACTCAGCAGTTTGTTACGCTGGATCATTGCTATGACAGATGGCTTTCAAACAATGCCAGGTTTAAATGTGAACCAAAAGCAGCATTCAGTTATTTTTTTTAATGGAACATGTCTTTGGTCAGCTTGGCTTTCTGTGAAAGCTGGTTAGTCAAAACCTGTAATTGGGCTCTTCACCATTCAGTTTGACACTTGTGCTGCAAGCCCAGTTTTTGCACGGAACGCCTAGTTCAGAGGCTGTCCTGGAAGCCTCCGTCAGGATCAGGCTGTGTCCCTGGCCTGTCTTCCTCCGGGTGTGGAGGCATTCCCCTTTCCCTTGTCCCAACTGCAGCCCAACCACTGCAGTTGGGAAGCCGTAGGAGGGAGCCTGCAGGTTCTCTGCTGCCCTCAAGTGTCTGCAGTCGTAACTGGCCCAGCGTTTGCACGGAGCAGCCTCGATTTCACAGCCAGGGCGCACAGCCAGGGCAGGTTCTCAGTCTGAGTGGGAGAGGTTTTACTTTGTCCTCCTCCTCCTTTTTCATGCTCCTTAGGGGAGTTTGGAAGTGATGGAAATGTCTGCGTAACTTTGGGTCTATCCTGACTTGATCTGCCTGTAACCAAGTGTTACTGTCTCTCCCAAACATCGGGAAACCCTGTCACATTTAACTGTTCACCTGCAGTCTCATCCCTGCTCCATCAGGGCTGGCAGCAACATTGGGCCAATAACATTTGACTCCAGGACCATATCTGCAGGTGATAGATGAGGCTACTGAGCCTCCACACTCCAGGAGAGGCAAGCACTACATTCTTTATCTGTCTGGCCTTTGTAACTAACTGGCTTATGGGTTTTATTCCCATAGGGTCGAGACATACACAACAGAAAACAATGAACTCTGGAAAAAAGTGGAGACCTTAGAAAATGCAAACAGGTAAGAGGGGCTAGACCTGACCCTCCATGGGTAGGGCAGGGTGAGCAGGAAGGGAAGTCAGGGAGTGCTGGGGCAGGAGAGTGAGAAGAGAAAGGCAGGCTGTCCCAGCTCCTGGTGGATGGGTGCTGCTCAGCAAGGCACTGGTTTTCAGCCTGTGACAGCAATGAGGCAGCTGGGTTTGGTTAGCAAGCCTGGAATGTTTGTGTTGGGATGACCAGGCCACACCGCAGCAAGGGGAGGGAGGGAAGGCATTTCCCATATCCCTTATATTTTCCTCCTTCTCCCTGCAGCCCTTTGGGCTCATGCTGCCTTCCACATTGCCCTCCAGGTCTCTGGCTGTCTCCAGGACAGATGTATCAAGGGAGGCCTCTCATACCAGCCTCTCAGACCCATTATTTCTGCTTTTGGGCTCTTTGGAGGAATACAAGGCTCTGGACATATCGTGGCTGTTTCAGGTTTCTCTTGAGAAAGCTGAACAGACTTGGTGAATACAGGAAAAGGCCCTTCCTCTAATAAAGATAGCTCCAACCAAATCTAGGGTAATTCCTTGTGCATACAGTGTTCCAGCCATTTCTTAGCCTCTTCTGGGCAAAACAAGCCCAGAGAATCTCCCTCACTGCTGCTGCTGCTGCTCCCCTGAAAGGAGGAAGCTGCTCCCACAGCCCCAAAGGTCCCTCACCCAAAGCTCTGGTGAGCATCTGTGCTTCTAATATGCAGAGCTGGCCAACTGATCACCAGGGGAATTTGCTTCCTTGGAAGCAAATATGAAGACTCCCACCCCTGCAGTGGGGATGGGCAGCAGGAGCTGGAGAAGGGCCCAAATCTGCTCACCCTTACTGGGCGCAGCAGGTGTGAGCAAGGGCAGGGTCAAGTGCAGGGCTGGTGAAGGGGATGCTCATTTTTGTAGCCCCATTTATGTCAGCTCAAATTGAGGAGGAGAACCACAGCCAGAGAGCCAGTTCCTCACCCACTCCTCTGCTGCCATTACAGCTCATGGAGAACTCCCAGAGGCTCTACTACATTTCTTCCTCCCATCCGTGACAATGCTGTGGCATTGGCTTCCAGGCCAGCCACTGGTGCCAGGACTGGGATCTGTCAGGTGTGGTCTGGCAGAGGTGTGCAAGAGCCAGAGGTCTCCCATCTGCTAGAGATACAGCTGCCCAGCTGCTCTCATGCATGAGGCACAGTTTGCCCTCTGGCCTCTCTGGGAGTGTGGGCAGCCCTGCTGCTGAAAAAGCATTAGCCCCACCCTGAAAAATCAGGAGACTGGCCTAAAAACCAGGAGATTTTTTTTTCAAAATACACATTGTGTTCTTTCTAATTGGATTTGGGTTTTGAGCACTGCCAGTGGGACAGCTTCTCTCCACGTGTACAAGTAGCTGAAGAGGATCTGGAAAGAGATAAAGCTGGGATTCTCCTGCAATCACCTGGCCCTAGGACCTGGCATTTCATAAAAGCTCAAACATACTTGTGTAAAAGTCAGTGCTCCCCCAGGGAAACTCAGCAGTAGTCTGCATTTCAGTAATTTGCAGCCATTGGGAACTGTGTGCTTTGTAGTCTCCCTCATTCCAGATTCCTTCACCAGCTCAGTGAAGGGCTCAGTAGCTCTTGGTAACACTTACCACTGTTTTGTGTTTATGTGTGTGGATGCCCATGAACAGTTAAATGGGGCAGAGAGACCTTAGCACATGTTCCAACCAGGACAGCCAGAGAATGATTAATTGCTGAACTCAAGATTTGGCTTTGCCCATATTCCTCTGCAGAGTTTGCCAAGACTGAATAAATTGGAGAGGATCACAACTGTTTCTTATTTCTCTCTCCACCTCATGGTTTAGAGCTTCAGAGTGTGTCAGTGAGTGAAGTGGGAGCAGGCAAGTCTGTGCTGAAGGTCTGACCTGTATACAAAGTTCAGTCACCATCCCAGAGCTTGGTTTTCATGGTACGCTGGCTCTCCACTGCTCTGGGAGTTGACAGGCTGGGCTTTGAGGCAGCCAGGAGTCCTAAATGAATGAGACATTCACAGCAGTGGTTAGGTGCAGTGAAGGTGGTGGTGGATCTGCTGGTGAGATCTTTTTCTGTCTCTCACTTCCCAAGTCTGTTTGGTCAGAGAACTTGGGCAAGATACAGCAAAGGGGAGATACTTGTTTTCAGAAGGAGGAAAAATCAAGATAAAATATGAAGAGAGTAGTGATAGTCTTGCCTCGCTTACTGGCTGCTACCTCCTTTTCAAGTTTTGATATGCGTTGTTTCCTATCACAGGACTCTGCTCCAGCAGTTACAGAAGCTGCAGGCTCTGGTAGCTGGGAAAGTCTCCAGACCTTATAAAATGGCTTCCACGCAGACTGGGACCTGTCTAATGGTATAAGCTTCATTTCCATATTCCTTATTGGCCATGCTTCTCCAGACAGTTTTGTAGATTGCCTGTCTCTGCCCTCTTCCCCGCTGCCCTGCTGTGTTGCCAGTTACATCTGCTCTCTCCTTTTGTATTATAGTCACCAGAGCTGGGCCCTGGGTCATACATACATTGGTATTGTCAGTTGTTTATGCAGCAACATTAGAATAATTCCTGCATTTTCACTGTCTTGTTCTTTGGGCAAAATGGCACTTTGTTTGCCTTTCATTAGCTATCAGCCATTCAGAAAAAATCTTCAATGAGCTTCCATCGTAGTGGGTAGAGTTTTCTTTGCTGAGTTGGTAATGCTTAATGTTAAACTCAGCAGGGTGGACAAACAGTCCAAGTATTCCTCCCAGTGGGCATTACCTTGTGTTTATTAGCAAGAAATGGCATGTTCTTGCTATGCCTGCACATTGGGCTTTGTTAAATCCAGCTGGAATTCTCTTTGTTTGCCCTTTTGACTAACCAGAATTAATCAGGGTTGTCTGTTATTTTGGTAATCCCTGTTTACCTCTCATTTCTCCTAGTGGAGGATCATGGTTAAATAACATTGGCTTCACTGAGGAGTTTTAGGACATGCCACTGTGTAGCCATAAATAGAGTCAATTGCTTAATCTTCATCTCAGTTTTGGCTGGGGGAAAGTTTCTGATCCATGGTAAAAATATATCCTTCCCCCTTGTGATGTCTTTGCAGGATTGTCGTAGTAGCTGGTCATGACACATTTGTCAGAGTTAGTTATCTATATCCAGTAATCACTTTTGTACTGCTAACAGTCACGAAATGCAGACAGATGGTGAGAAGCTTGCCCCATTTTCTCAGTTTCCTCAGTGTCATGAGGTATTGTTTCTTGCTCTTGGTTCAGTTTCCATAGTTCCAGAGCCCCTACTCTATAATTTCCAGCACTTTCAAAATCTGCTCAGGCTTTTGGTACTCTTTGCTGCCCCCATGTCAGAGCAGATTTTAATGACTGTCTTTTCTTTTTGCTGCTCTATGTCTTCATTCTCAAGTTCTTTCCACGTTTTCAGTTGTGACCTACCTGAGCCCAGTGGCTTATTGCTCCTTCATGCAGCATCTCATCAGAATACCCCTGGCTGCAGCAAATCTTCAATGCTACTACCTGGAATAAGCAAGTCCAGAAGAGGTGCCAGATATCCCCTGTGCTACAGACTGATAAAATACCTAATTTAGCGTCCCAACAATGTCTTATCTCTCCTTGCTGCTCCCTTCATTCCAGGCATCTCAGCCCACACACCAACTCTCTCAGGCTTCCTAGCTTCCAAGCATCTCAAGAATTTGTAATTTGCTTTTCTATCTTTGGCCAGTTCCTCTCTTAAGCCTCCTAGTTCCCATTTTCCATTTTCAAATACAGCACTTTTTAATCACAAAAGATATGTAGAATCATCATGCCTTGCAGCATAGGAGTGGAGCAGATTACCCTTCTTCTTTAGCTCTGTGTCATTCCTGCTGGATATTTGTACAGCCAGTTCTTGAAGGCCTCCAGTGGTGAGCAGTACTCAGCCTCCCAGGGCAAACCATTTCAGTGCTATGTTATCTTTTCCAGATAAAGCTTTCTTGCTATTTCATCTCAATCTCCCTTGCAACAGCTTAAGCCTATTAGAACTTCTTCTGCCCAAGCAAGATCTGTTTACTCCCTCTTTGTGCATCTGCATTTTACATATTGGAAAACTCTTGTTTTTGAGCAACTCCCTTTAGTCTGCTGTGCTAAATCACTATGATTTCTTCAGTCTTCCCTTGTAGGCTGAATTACTGAATCACTGCTTGTTCCCAGAGCTCTATTCCAGAGTTTCTTCAATGGCCCTGCATCTTTTTGGAAGTATGGGGCCCAAAGCTGCACACAGTGTTCCACCTGAAGGCCAGTACAGATCCAGCCAGAAAGCCTATTCATTCTGCTTGGACTGCGATTTGCCTTTTGCAAAGTGACACCTATTTGGGCCTGTCTTGTGCTCCATTTTAACTCTCAGATCATCTTCTGTAGAACAGCTGAAACATGTAGTCACTGATGTGTTTCCTCCGTTAATCAGTCCTGCCACCTTGGAGGTTTCAGCAGGTCTCCACATTTGTCTGTATAGATCTTCCCACTGTTCTCTTAGACCACTTCTTCCCATGATCAAGATCATTCTGAATTTGAATATTGACCAAAAGCCAGTCTGCTTGTAGTCTCTCTCATCTGCAGATTTCATACAGTCCATCATTCAAGTAAAGCTTAAAAATGCTGAATCTTGCCAGATCCATAACAGATCGCCCTGCTACTCCATCTGCTACTTCCTCACAGTTTGACAGTGAACCATTTGATAAATACACTCTCAGTGTGTCTTTTTTGATTAATTTTTCCTCCACCTTTCCAACTGGTTTTTAAGTAGTTTCCTCTAGCTTGATTTCCCTCACTTTTAAGAGATCAAGTAATGAGATGGTCAAAAGCTGTGAGATAAATCGTACTCAGAGTCAAAACACAAGTTATTGTTATGAAGTGTTGTAGAGTTTGAACTAGAACTGAATCAGAGCATCAGAGTTAACCTGAAACAAAACAGAGCAAAAACAATGCTGTTTTGCAAAGCCCCAGTTGAAAGCCATGTTAAAGCAAGATGTTAAGTATACTGCTCTTTCCCAGCCCAAAAACCTGTTTTGTTTCAGGAGGGAAGAACAGACTTCACAGGGCTGGCTCTCTTTTCTGCAAGTTGTGTGTTTGGCTGTGATAATTCCAAGCAACATTTATTCATAATTTATTTTTTCCTCTGTTTTTGTGGAATAAGGATTCTAAATGCCTTGTGTGCCTGATATGACGTACTTAGACAGCATCTGTGCTGTCCATGTTTAATGTCCTTCCTTAAAACCAGCCATGAAGAGTCTGGACAATTAAAATCCCTCTTTACATAGCGCAGTATCCTCGTGTTATGATTCTATCTTCCGCGTCTCCTGGAATCCACTGGTGGTCAAAATTACCTTGATGTACCAGCTTCTGTGCATTAATTAGGCACAGCTATTCTGAAATAGGTGAACTTCTGAAAAGCAGTCAAGCAATTGCTGGCTGTGCCCTCAGGTGTCCCCCCAGGTCAAACTTAGCTAGTTTATACATAGATAGTAGAAATCACCAACAGATGCATTGCCCCTTTGGCTGCTAAGTCTGAGCACTGAGCTGGCAGCATGGGTGTTCAGGTAATAAGAATTTGGCTCTGTACCATTTCCCCTGTGTCCCTTCTTGCTCTTTACTGACAGTTCCCTAAGCTCTATAGAGGCTCTTAAAATCAGCACTGGCATCTCACTCTGAAGCTGTACAGTTACAACAGAATTTCCAGACAGGTCCAGACCTACCTGAGGGGCATTTCCAGGGAGATTTCATATGCCTTTCTCCTGTTGTCACTGCTAGTAGCTCTGACTGGTGTGCCTGACAGCAGAAGGTCCTGCAGACATGGTCCTGCATACCTACATGTCAAGCATAAATTTAACCCTTTTGGACTCAGCATCTTTACTATCAGATATTAGGCAACTGTAGTTCTGCTGTCATTTCTGTCCTTGCATGGATAGTAGCTTCACCTTGCTATGTCCTGTGGTACCTCACAGATTTGTCCCAGTGAGCTTGTTTTCTTTACAGCCCACAATAGCTCCTGCTGAGCCAACGGTCAGGTTCCCTTTGGTCAAGGCAGAGTTCGTCCCTTCTGTTGAGTCTCATTCTTTCTCAGCTTGTTTCTCAGCTACGCCTTCCACTATCTTTTCTCAACTGGACGGACAAGTTCTCACTATTGAACCAGAAATACTCCAAATAAAGCAACAACAGGAAGTTTCTGACTTCCCTTCTTAGATTTGAGGCAGAGATTAGAATAGCAAGTCCCTTCCCATCCTGGGGGACCACAGGTACCCAATTGTCAGCCTGATCAGATCTTCTTACACAGCCTCATGTTTGTGTGCTGTGGAGGGGAATGGTTCTTCATGGCATTTTCTTCAGCGGCACTGACTCTGTGCTGATCTCCTCTCTAGGTGCTGGCACTCTGCTTCGTTCTGATCCTGGGATCCCTGATGCCCTGTCTCCCTGAGTTCTCCTCAGCATCACAGACAGTGAAAGCAACACCAGCACCAGACATTTACACAACTAGTAAGAGTGAGTCTAATGTGGTTCCTCCATTTGAACTTGTAAAACCATTTCTGGCTCTGCTCTCAACAGTCCCTGCTCTGGCATAGCATCCTCCCCTTTGTGCCTATACCATATGCTGGGGCTGTGGTGAGGGAAGATTCCTAATCTGTCGGTGGGGGCCTGTTGTCATTCCATGCTAACTGCTGTCCTAAAACATGGCAAGTGTCAAAGGAAGGAATATGAGGGAAGAGTCCCAGGGCAGACTGGTTGTCTTCTGAAGAGGCTATGTGTCCCAGGGGTCTGTCTTCAGGAGGCAAACCTCCTGAAGCTGGGGGGGAGGGAGGAGGGTATCCTGCACAGTTACACATGGACAAGGCTGGGTGAGCATGTGCTGAAACCACTGTCATGACCCATACCCATTGCAAGAGACCTTATCCTCATTGTTAACCAATGCTCTCCTTTTTTCCAGTTCAGTCACGGAGCCTTCTTTTCTATGATGAGGGTGCTGGCTCCTTAGAAGAGAGCTATAGCTCCTTCCTAACCATGGACCATCCTGAGGGGTGGGAGGCTGAAAAAAGGCAATCTGAGGAGGGAAGGCCTCATCTGGCCAGGACACATGAGACAGCCAAATATTTGAGCAAAACCCAGCTGGAGGGTCCTGACCAGAACCGAACTGACACAACTCTCACCCACCTCAAAGAGCAATTCCATAAGAGGTAAGCAGATGGGGCCACCTTCTGAGCCCAAAATACAGCATGGTGTATGGGAATAAGCAGCAGGCATGTCTGTCCCCTCTGCTGCAAGCTAAGGACAGCTGAGCCACCTGGGGCAGGCAATCAGCTAAGAGCAGTGGCTGGAGGAGGCCGGTGCTGGCAGAGAGCATAAGAACAAGTTTCTTTTCTAGAGCAAAAGTTTGAGACTCCATAAAGCAGCGTCCCACTGGCATAGAGCTGCAGAGGGCTGGATGACTCAGGTGGTCCCAGGTTTGCATTCCATTCAGTGACCTGGTGAAGGAGTTCATCCTGATCAGAGCAAACTAGTTGGGCACACGGAAAGGCGAATTTGGATAGGAGGCTGCAATGAACCTTGACTGATGCTTTGTCTTTTCTTTCCCTCAGGGAGACAAGCTCCAGTGAGACAACTGAATTCTTGTAGCAGCTGCTGGACCTCAAGGCCTCATTTGTCAGATTGCAGGATTCCCTCCTCAGCAAGCAACTGAGGGGACTTGGCAGGAGAGGACACTGCGTTCAGACACTAGTAAACTGGCCTTGGGTTCAGCTCCTCCCCTTCCCCATTCTTCCCATTAGTAATGATCTCTCTAAGGGGAGTCACAGGACTGCCAGAACCAGCAATAGATCTCTGGAGAAGCCCTGGACACCTTCTTCTCCTGGCCTTACCTCTTGTTTAAGTGAGCACTACCCTATGGATGTGGGCTCACCTTGAAGTGGAGGGAGATCAGGGGAAGCCCCCAAACTACTCAGCTCACTCCCCAAAGCCTCCAGACCCAGGGGGCTGTCCCCAGCTCTGTACACCTTGGCTACATCAGGTGGACCTGAAGGAGAGAGAGAGAGAGAGAGACAGAGAGTGTTGGATTTACTGTCCTGCCTGGGAGACTTAGGAGTGGGTGATGCTGGTGCTGGAGAGATGACGCTGGAGAGTTTGAGCTCATTCCTTGCCCTCCATCAGTTAGTATATTTCTCCTTCCATTGAGAGAAAACCTAGTTCTTCCTTGCTCTAGTTTTCTCTTGATGGACATGCCTACGTAATTTCAACGCCAACTATCTGCAAAAATCTGCACACAAACGGAGTGGGGGAGACAGATCCCAGACGGATAAATCACCATAAAAATTAGCCAGCAGCTTCTAGACAACCAGAGCTCTGAAACAGATAACAATTTTCCCCCACAACCCACTTCTTCCCACCCTCAGTACCCCTGCTTTGGCAGGGGTTGTATTTCTCCATCTGTTCCCAGCTTGGGCCCTACAGTGCAGTGCTAACCAGGTCAGTGGTCTTCTCACTTTCCATTCTGCAGGCATTTCCTTTGAGAGTGAGTGAAACACATTCCTGTAATCTGACCCCCATCCCAGCTCTCCATCCCCAATTCGGCCTCATGACAAATGGGGTCTTTCTAGGAACCACCAAGGAAGGCTCTGAAACCCATTGGAGGTCTGTCAGATTAGCCATTGTTCCCATCACATCCTCCATGTGCACACAACACATAGTGTTGTGAAAACCACTGAGGACATACTGGCATTTCTGGAGACAGGTACATCTGTCAGGAAAGGGGTGGCATGTTGGAATTGGCCAGGGTAATGAAAGACAGTTTTAGACCTCTTCCTTCTAAGTACTGATACCAAAGGTAGCAAACTCTCGCCATACCATCCCTCAGGCCGGACTTGCCAATTTTGGTGTTGAAGTGACCTCATCTCAAGCCTGTGCCATCCTTTTTAGTACCCAGACACTCATTTCTGATCCTTCTCCCTCCCCATCAAAAGCCCTGTAGAAAGGCTCGCTCCATTCCCTCAGCTGCCATTTGATGAAAGGACAACGTGGGACATGAGTGTTGGAGATCTGCGATGTGGCAGGTTGCCCCATGTTTTAACACAGGAGTCCCTGTGCACTCTGTCAGGTCTCACAGCAGGCTCCTCTTCCACTTGCTTCTCATCAAGCACCCTGGACTCACTCTGCACTGCCCCAGCCTTTCCTCTTCACCCAGTCTGGGAGTGGAGAAGGCCCCCTGGAGAGGAAGGATGGGATGGCTCTTGCTCAATGAATAGGAGAAGCGAGGGAAGGGCCCTCATATCCTTCTTTTCTACCTTTTGAAAATTGGTTTTGCCCCAAAAGCCATTTAGGAAAAATTTGGACACAGCTAGCTGCAGCCATACCTGCGTGGCCAGTGGGGTGAGGAAGAAGGTGGCTTCCAAAATAGCTCTTCTCAAGGTCACCAGATACCACTGCATTTCCCAACCTCCACCTCCACCCCAGCACAAAGAACCACTGCCGGGTCCAAGCACGCCTTCCTCCACCCCAACACTTCCACTGAGCATGTCCCCATGCCTCTCACTCCCACTGTTGTACAGAGACCAAGAGCAGAACTCGTTTGTACATAATGAACCTTATTTTGTATTATTGCCGATCCCTTAAGATATTGTATTTTGGAGACTCTCAGATCCTATTTTCAGTATTGTATTTTATTAAGAATTAGTGCGGGCTTGGCATCTATGAACTTCTTGTAGCAGCTCACTTTCCACTTATACTCCAACAGCTGCCTCTTCCCTCCTCTTTGGTTGGGTTTTTTTTTTTGGTTGGTTGGTTGGTTGGGTTTTTTTGGTGTTTTGTTTTGTTTTAATTTTTTTTCTGTTGTTTTTTTCCAAGCCACCTTTTCTCCTCCTCCTATCACTTGCTCTGCATTTGCTTTCTGAAGCAAAATAAAAATAAAATAAAAAGTTGCAGCATCAATCCTGGGTTGACAGGTCCTTTCATTGAGGCATGGTCACGCCAGCCCACATGCACAGCTCCTCACTTCCTGCTCCCTGTTCCATTCCCAGGCCACGTGCAGAATTGCTTCAGTACTGGGACCCCATGCTCAGTGTTAGGGGCTAAGAAGCAAACTTGCATGTTTTATTTCCAGCAGCACTGTCATTTCTTCTGCAGTTCCGAACAAGTCAGAACTGTTCTGTCTCAGTTCCTTTTCCCCCTCCAAAATACCACTATCATCCTCTTGAAAGGAGGAAGATCATGGAAGAAAGTCTGTGAGGTGCAGGGACTGTGAAGGGGTCTGCACAACAAAGACATAGCACTCTGGCTCTGGTCCCATCCTGTCTGAAAAAGTACTTAAATCCTTCCATTAACTGTAAAAGCAGAGTAGCTGCGCTCCGACTGGCAATGACCTGGGTCCTGGCTGGTAGGCTGGCTGTACCTCTGACAGTCCATTGGCATCTGTGAAAACTGGTTTGTTTTGTCCTGATTTTGTGTGAAACACAAGGCAACGGGGTCTAGAAAACAAATCTTCATTTTCTAGAAAGCTCCAAGTGGGTACATTAGAACTTGGGTATTGAAACAACTCTTTCTTGCAGTCAGGCCCTCCGTATCTGGAAGGCAGCCCAAGCAGTAGCCCCTTTCAGGGATGCTACAAGGTGGCTCTGTCTCTCACCTCTGGCTGGGATGGTACTGCAGGACTGACTCTGCCACAGCAGAAGGATGTGAGGCTTGGGGCTTGCAAAGGTCTCTTTTTGTGGATTACAATTTCTTTGTGGAGAGAGTAAAGCTGATGCCACGCTGTCGTGACAGGTCATTGAAGAGTGGCGGGTTAGACTGACTGCAGACTCCTGTAGAGCTCCCTTCCCCTGCACACCCACTGAGGCAAGAAAATGCCTGGCCTTGCCCTGCAGTTTGTGTCCTGGGCCAGAACCAGTTTTGATGTTTTCCCTGTTACACCTTGTCCAAAAGCAGCCTCCTATTCCTGCATCAGCATGATGCACCTTCCCCCACTGTGGGGTGGGGCTGCTCTCTGCACTCACCAGATTTCATCGGAGGGAGTGGCTCCTGCTTTGCTCACCCCTGTGAAACTTCACACAGCTCTTTAGGAATTGCCTTCCAGGGAGATTCTGGCGTGCACCCTTCATGCACACTGGAAAACAGGTGCAAGAGGGAAATTCTTAAAAGGATGAGTTCTCAGGCTTTGGTGCCTTATCACTGACGTGGCCAGAGCAACCAGAACCACCTTCCATCAGGAGAAAATTCACCTTCATCTTGACAAATCCTCCTAATTCTGCAGTCTACTAGATAATTCTGAGCTGCTCAAAGCAGGCACATTAGGATCTTTTGATCCCTGCTATGCCTCTTGAAATGCAGCCAGCCAATCACATCTACCAGTTTGGCTACAGCAGATAATTAGAGCAGAACAAGAGAATTAGCAAAGCAAGAGTCACCTTCTTTACAAGTCACCTTCAGCCTCACTCAGTTGTGCTTGGTCTGCTCCAAGTGCCTCCAGTCAAGCTTTGCCATGCCAAGATGGGCTTTTGCCCATTTAGGGTCACATTTCTAGGAAGCCTACGCACTCTCAACACTTACAACCCCTGAGCAAAGGAGCACTAACGGAACACGGACTTCGTTTTTCAGAGACAAATTATTCCTGACTGTTCTCTGTTACCAGGCCAATTGAAAAAAGAAAAAAAAAAGGAGAGAGAAAATAATTGGTTTTTGAGGCACGCCACTGCCAAGCAGGTCACTGGCAGTGCATAGTAGCAGCCTGGTGGGTATGTTTTGTTCATTACAGAAGTACAAGTCCTGTTAGGGATCTCAGGAGAGCATCCCCGCTCTCCAAGCCTGGCACGGTCCCTCTTGCTGTTCCCATTTGGGAGTGTGCTAGGGACTCACACGGACCCATCATGTGATCAGCAGGCTTTGGTCCCGCTGCCTGGCAAGGAGCCTGGGCTTTGGATGCCTTCTGGGGAGAATGGGGAGGTCACACCTCCTGATACTCCACAGGTACTGAAGGCTTGTTAATAGCAGTGGCGCCTGGATGGACACTGACCCAGCCTGCCTCAACAAATCTGTGTTGATTTTCTAACCTGGTGGCTGGAATGGGGCTTAGAGGTGAGCAGGGCAGAGGTTCCTCTTCTTCTGCCCAGGGGAGGAGACTGTACCTTCCCAGAGCTGTACTTACTAGAAATGCTGCTTCCTAGAAGGCTCACGGTCTGCCTGCAAAAAGGAAGGGGTCTGTATTGTAATACCAATATACCCTTGCACTGTTCCATGTGCCAACACAGAAGGAAACCCCTACCCAGGGCACAGGAGAGGTGCCCTCCTGCCTGTGCCCCAGGTAAGCAGGTGAGTGCCATGTAAACAGGTGACCTGGCTCAGCTGAAGGGTGCCTTGGGTGCCAGGAGGACAGGACTGACCCAACACAACTGCCCAGCCACATCGTCCCCAGGCAGCATCTGCCTGCTCTTCCCAGGTCCTGAAGGAGCTCCAAGTGAAGGGTGACCCCATTTGTGACAGACATGTGAAACGTCCTGTTGAGACAGGTGGGCAGAGACAGATGCAGAAGCCTGAGCAATCCTTTACATCCCCTCATGCAGGCATATCCTGCGATGTCTGCTCCAGACACACAAAATCTGGCCTGCCCTGCCTGCGTGACAGCTGTACAGTTTGGCATGCGGGTAGAAAGGGCCAGCTCCTCCCTGCAGAGGAGGTTTCTGTAGCACAGGATCAGCCCCCCTGGGAAGGCAGGAGATACCCACTGTCCAGGCCCTCTCTCAGCCTTGATCAAAGGCGCTGTGACCCCAGAGCTCTGCTGTGCCTGACTCTTGGGACATGTCCTGCAATAAGGGCCTCTGCTTCCCACTCTGAAGCTCCTTTCTTATGGCACCAACACATCCACCAGTGAGAAATGCTCTCCAGTCCTTCCCACCTGGAAGTCTGGAGCCTGCTCTCCCCCAGCTTTCAACTTGCATTCATCCCTTACTGGCCATCCCCTTCCTCAGCTTGGTGGCCTTTAACCATAAGGGATAAGACAGATGTTTGCCAAAATCTCTTGAGCACATGAGTGGACCTGCATCCCCAGTAGCTCCTCTGGGCAGCCTAGCTCTGTCCTACCCTGGCAGCTTGGCCAGCACAGGTGAAGGTGGCTCTCATAAGTCCATGGCAAAAGGGGCACCGCCCCAGGGGCAGGCAGGGAGGCATTGCCCCATGGGTGGTGAAAAGAACTGAGGTGCCACATGTCCCTCTGCACCAGCTGGGCACCTGCTGCTTCTCCCTTTCCACAGCCTGCTCCCAGCCTCTGCAGTGCCCATGGGCAGCAAGAGGACATGGAGCCAGCCATGCATCCATGCAGGGAGCACTGGCAAGCTCCCGGGCAGGTCTCTGTCCCAGCAAGAGTGGGTGAAGCTGCTTCCCCAGGGCCAGCTCTGCTCATCAGGGAGGGTTCAGCCAGCAGCACTCCAGCTTTAATGGGGAACAAAAGCCCTGTGGGGGCTGCAGGGGCTGAGTCACGCAGCAAGGAGGGTGTGGGGCTCCCTGCCAGTCACGGTTCTGTGGAGGAGTGGAATCGGGGGCTGCTGTGTCCCTTGGGAGGCGCAAATCCTCCGGCAGGAATAGAGAGGGGGAGATGTCATAGTTTCATTTAGGACCAGAAAAAGGTTAGGTAACTTGAATTGAAGGTGCCACTGGGCTGTGGTTCCCAGGGAAAGCCACAGCCCTTCTCCAGCCTCTGCTGCTTCCGAGTTTGGGATCAGGAATGGCATGGGAACGTGCTGTGCCACAGCACCCTGCAGCAGAGATGTCACAGGGCCACATGGAGGTGATGGGGAGTGCTGGCAAGATGAATGAGCTGCTTCTGACAACTCCCAAGGTAATACAACAGTCAGAGCACATTGAGGATGGGTTCCAGCTCCAGTCGTGCCAGACCTTCATGGGATGACACTGGGATTAGGGGTGATGGCAATGGGTTCTTGGTGTAATACATGACTGTCGGGCCCTGTCATGATGCAGGGGCTAGCTCTTATAGACCTGAAGTTCAAATTTTCCAGTGCCTAGCAGGTAAAGCCTCAGCATGTGAATCTGGGGCAGAACAAATCAGGCACATATGGGAGCTCTGTGGGGATTTCTCACCCCAGCTGGCATCCACAGCACTAGAGTGGGCAAGGCTGAGGCAGGCCATAACTGGGACTGTGATCACAAAGTTCAGTCCCAGCCCAGGACAAACAGACAATGCAACTCTCCTGATGGATGTGGGCAGAGAACTGAAGGGCCTTTCTACCTCTGGATGCCAAGACTGGAGAAAAAAATGCCTTGAATTAGGAAAAATCAGGGATAATGTGGCCTCCTAAATGGCAAGGAGCTGAGCCAGCTGGGAGGAGGGAGGCCATGCTACAGCCATACCTCTGCTTGGTTGAGTACCACTGCCCATTGTCAGGTACCCTGTGCCCAGAGAGGTCTCATCCATGTTGGATAATTGGACAAAACAACAGGTACTTTGCTCTGCTGGGGCTGCTGTCATGCAGTTTTCCAGGCTGCCTGACTTCACCTGATGGCAGGTCACGTTAAGACAAGTGGCTGAGACCCAGCTCCCTGAGCAGCCCTTGCAGGCAGGCAGATGCCAGCTAGACTGTGAGCAGAGAGGGGTGGCTGAGTGGTCACCCTCCTCTGCCTCCCCAGACTCCGAAGGGTTAAGTGCCAGTTTCGAGTGTCTCTAAGGTGACACCAGGCTGCCTGCACCGTGCAGCTCCCCGCAGCCCCCTCCCCATGCACACAGCACACACTCACGCTCACTTTCTGCTTTGTCTTTTGCGAGCTGCTGCAGTGCACAGGCACCTTACTCGCTGCCTATCTCTGCCTGCTGCTCCTGCTCGGCTGCTGCTGCTGGGGACGCTGAGGTGCGTGCCTGGAGAGGGACCCTCGCAAGAAGGCAACCCAAGCTCTCTTCCGCTTGCTGCAAGCATCGCTATCCCTGGACCGTGCTCTCTCCTAAGACCCCTTCTCCGGCGAGCGCTGTGTTTCCCACTCCCTCCCCGCTCCCCTCAGTGCCGGCACCTCCGAGAAGCAGCACCAGCGACTCCGTGTTTCTCTCAGATATTCCTCCGCTTCGGAGTGGCAGGGCAGCAGAGACAGCGTAAGGCTGAGCTGCTGTGCCTGAGCTGCCCAAGCTACTATCAAGAGGCTGATAAATACCACTGCAAAAAGTTGAACGCTGCTTTTTCTCGTGCTTGTGCTTCCTCAGGGAGTTAAGCCTCACTGGGATCGTCCCATGGCCCTGGGGAGGCAAAGCAGAGCAGCGCCGTGGGACTCTGTGGGGCAAGACCAGGCTGCCCAAGAAGTTTTGGAGGACTCCTCGCCTAGAGAGACACCTCACTTCACCATGGCTGAAGGTCCCGGGAGCTGGAGAGACTTCTCCCCTGCCAGGAACAATGGTGAGGTGGCCAGGGGGGCCACAGCAAGTCTCCAAGGAGCAGTAGATGCAGAGAGCACTGGGCAAGCACAGCGCTTGGGCCTCCACAGCATGGATCCAGCTTGGGAGGAGATGAGAGGGGCAGTGGCCGTGGCAGAGGTGGAGGAGCAGTTCCTGCAATTGGCCATCAGAAAGCAAGCCTCTTACAGGTAAGAACACCTTGGTCCCTAAGTGTCATGGCTGGGCTGGGGCACAGGAGTGCCCTGTCCCTGGGACATCTCCCTCCTATGGGGTCAGGGTTGGCTCTTCCCACTAACCACCAGCACCCTCTCACCAGAAACCATCTCAGCACAAAGACAAGGGAACCAGTTAGTCCCATCTCTCCCCATCCATGCAACAACCCCCTCTGCAGTGGCAGTCCCATTGTCACTTTTGCAGGTCCCCTTATTTTCCTTCTATCCAACTCCCTGTTCCCATTCTGGGGCTGTGATGTCTCCCAGGAGCAGTCTGTGCTCAAGAGCCTTCCATGAGCTCTGTCATGGGGCCATAGGCTGGAAGTTTTCCTCTTTCTCTGCAGCACCAGCTTTTTATTGTTCAGTGTATTGAATACAAGGGACTTCTCATAGCACCTGTTCTCCTTTTCCTCCTCTTCCCCAAGGCAAATGTCCCCTTACTTGATTCCCAGGTCCAGAAACCTTGATCCCACCTGGGGAAACTGAGCAGTGATACAGAGATGAAGGGCCTGAGATTAGGGCTTAGGCTATAAATGTGTTGTTTGGGGGCACCTTGCAGCAAGAGGAGATCTGTCCTGCTTTTTGGTGTGACTCTTCTGCCAGGACTGCTCTGCTTACCCACCTCTGCTATAGCCAAGCAAAGCTGGTGAAGGCAAAGAGTGGGTTTCATAGCTCTCAGAGAGCTTACAGCTTGTGGGAGCCACTGCCTGGTGACACTCAGGTGAGCTCCTATTCCAAATTCCAACCATAATGTCATAATCCTGCTTGGTCAGCATCTCCAGGACCTCAGCTCTACTCTTTCTGTCACAGTGAGAAAGGCCCAGTGTCCCACCCTCCCCTTTTTTTCACTAGGAGGGCGTTTAAGCCCTTCTACTATTTACTACCCCCAATCTTAGCAGAATGGCTTTTAGGTGTAATTGAGGAGAAATAATTCGATCCTGTATCTGCCCAGAGTAAATATGAGCACTTGCAGGACTGACCCTGGGTTACTGTGAGAGTCTGGGACTGAGTAGCCGGGAGAAGGCAGGAGCTGCCTCCTTACAGTTCTCCTGAGCTGGCTTGGCCGAGGGATCTCTCTGTGTCCTTCTGAGCTCCATGTCACCATGTCATGCCATGCTTAGCAAGTGCCACGTGGTTTACAAGCAGGTGGAAAACTGACATGGAGGATCTTGGTGCCACGCTCACTGCCATGGCGGACGGAGGCCGGATGGGCTCTCCTGCCTCTAGTCTGGGACTTGGGGACCCTGGGGTGCAAAGTTCCTCTGGGGAGGCAGATTTTGGGCAGGAGCTGTCAGTCACCCCCATCCGCACTCCCATGTGTACAGTAGCCCTTTTTCTCCTTTGCAAGGGCTGTGGTGCAAGCTGTGAAGAAATTGCTCTCTAATACTGCAGTAATGGGAACTAATAGGAAACTGTATTAGTGCCTGCAGAGCAGGAGGGGCCCCTGAGCTGACTCATCTCCAGCACTTGTTATTCCTGCTGTGGGTGACGAGCAGGAGCTGGGGTGGCAGAGATCTCCTTGAGGTGCCCTGGCTCCCCAGTCCTTGCCATGAGCTGGGGCAACATGCAGCTCTCATAGTCCTCATTCTGTACTTAGAGCTGCTCACTGAGGCTCTGCCCTGATGCCACCAAGGACGAGAAATTACTGTGCCAAGCAGAGAGGGCAGAGCAGGCTTTTCTTCTCTTAGCTGTCTTCCTCCAGATGTGCACAGTTTTGCGAATGGATTAGCCAGCTGCAATTTTCCAGCCTCCCCAGGGGAGGAAAGGGACCATATTGCAACCTAATTTGATCAGCCTGAATATGCTCCAGAATTGTCTAAGGTTGCTGGGGATTGTTTACATCCTACCCATGCCACCCCAGCCACCCAAAGCAGGTGGCTCTGTTGACATGCTCCAGCCTGCGCTGCCCTTACACAAAGCACCTCTGTTCTACTCAACCCTCACTAGGGATCTCTTTGCAAGAGACTTTGCTCCATTCAGTGCAGGCTTTGCAGAAGAGAGGATTCTGGGGGGTTGGAGGGAATGCTGCAGCTATCTGCAGGCCATCAGCGAAGGAGGAAATGGTGCTTGGGATGAGTTGCTTCCTCTACCCTGTGTTTTGGGCAGCCAAGTGAAGGGAAGGAGAAATGGGAGAGGAAGAGTCTGGGGTGGAAGATCTGCTTGTGCTGTCCTGTGAAACCCATGGAGGTTTGGGTCTGGCCAACTTTCCATCAGGTGCCCCTCCTGCAGCATGAGAAGCTTTGGGGGGCTGACAGAAATCCCTTTGCTGTGCTCTCTGGATCTGGAGACACTTACTGAACCCTGGTACAGACTTTGGAGGAGCTCCTCTGTGGGCTGCGGGCATTACAGGTGTCCTCAATGTTAAGAGAAGGTTGGAGGCCTCAGTCCTCTTGCTGCCAACCTGCCTGCTCCTGCTGGGACCCATTAGTCATCACAAGGGGCAGGCGGCATAAGCTGCTATATAAAGGTTTTGAAATGAGCAGAAATGATATTAATCCCATGGAAATAAAGTTCCTTCCATAAATAGCTACCACGGTGTATGGAGGCGCCTTGGGCGGGTAGAAGAGAGCTCAGCACTCAGGTTATATTTAGGGCTTTGAGTAGCAGTTTCGTGCCAAACTTATTAATGATGCTGGCTTGTGCACCAGATTTGCACATTCTGGGACAATGTTCCCAATAGGGAGGTGCTTCTGCTACACCAGAAGGACCCAATGCCCTCTGTCACTGCAGCAAACCCGGAGCAAGCACCAAGGCTTTGTGCCTCACCCCTTGGAGAGTAACTTCTGCCAATGGGATTCCAAAGTCAGCTCCTCCTTCCCTTGAGTGTCTCCACCAAGGTTTTGTCATGGGGCAGGATCATCTCTAGCTTGAGAGCGAGGCAGCTTTGGTGGCAATAAGGCAAGTTACAGGCTGGAAGAACTTTGCTGAAGGGAAAACCCTGTGACGTGGGTCCAGGGAGGCCCGGGACAGGTGCTGGTGGGCCGCAGCAGCACCCTCCAACCTCTCCTAAGCAGTTCTGAGCTCTCTCTCAATTTCCTTACTTTCTCAGCTGCTTTCAGGGTGATGCTTGCAGCAGTATCCTTTGTCACCGCCACTGCTCCCAGCAACCAGGACCAAAGGGGTGTTTACCCAGAAAGGAAATCACAAGCGCACAAAAGCTCCTGCACGGGCTCCCCGCAGGCTACGCTGCACGTCCCCTGCCCCATAGATATGCAGGGTGTCAGACAAGTGCCCTTCTGCTCTTAGCCACCTCCAAAGGTAGAATCTGGACCGGCCCACGCCACACAGGGCTCCTCATGGCGTGGGCTGGGCATCTCTGGCAGGAGGAAGAGGGGGTCCTGTGTCCCTCTGTGCCCCCCAGCCTAGCATTAGCCCCTGAAGAGCAAAGAGGGGTATCAACTTGCCAGCTCTCATCCCTACTAGGGAGATGTGGGGCACCTCGGCTGCTCGGCACAGTCCCCGGGCTGGCAGATAGGACACAGCTCACAGGCTGTTCTGTGCCAGGGAGCTAAATATAGCCCGGAGAGCAGAGCAGAGGGGGCTACTTTGTAATGTAAATAGCAAGGGAGCTTGGTCAGAGGGCAGGCAAGGACAGAGGGGAGAGCTGGCAGGGGCTGCTGGAGAAAGGGAGGTAGGAGCACTGAGGGGCCCAGGGGAAGCCAGTTGCAACTCTCTGCTGTCTTCTCTTCTGTCTGCCTTCATATCTGCCTGGACTCGGGTATTTGTGAAGTCCCAGAACAGCCTGGGCAGGGCAGGGGTTGGGGAGGAAGGAAAGGAGAGCCTTCTCCTTCTGCAGGGAGAAAGGGGCAGAGAGGGGATCTCCTTCCTCTAAGTCCTGCCTGCTGGCCTTTTAATCGTGTTAGCCTGGCTCTGCAGAGCAGCATAATCAAATTCCCATTCATTTCCAGCAAGCCGAGCCTGCTCCGCTCTGACAGAGACATCTGTCTCTGCATCCCTCTGTGCAGTCGGGGAAAGGAGATGGCTGGCACAGTTGGAGGAAAGTGCTGATTTAAGCTAACCCAAGACCCTGCTGCTGCCAGAGGGGATACTTCTGTCCTCTCTCCTGCTGTGGTTTTTCCACATCAGGCAAGCCAGGTTAGCTCCCTGAGGCAGAAGATGACACCAAGTTAGCCTCCCCTGGTTGTCCCCATAGCCACAGCTGCAGCTTTCCATACAGTGGGGGTGTGCAGAGGGGCTGTGGAGTGGGACTCCCCAAGAGCAGGCCAGTCAGGAGGTTAGGGGCAATGCCAGACTGCATCCAAACACTCCTACATGGGGAGAGCTGGGATCCCTGAACCAAGGGACATCCCTTCCCTTGGCCACCCCTTGATCCCAGTTAACGATAAATCCCACAGGCAGGTATCCTGTTGAGTTTGGGTGAAGCAGGCAGCTTAATCTTTTCTGTACCAGGGGCTGCACGACTAGTACAGAGACAAGGGTGCTGGTTCACAAAATCACCCAGCACAGTGACCTCCATCCCAAGAACAGCCAGAACTGGCCTTTGTAGGGGATCCTCCACAGTTTTGCACCAAGCCCAAGGGACAGAACTGTGGAAGGACATACAGATACAGCACAGAGAGGATGGTGCAAGTCCCAGGGCAGGGCATGTTACTTCTCAGACAGCCTCACCAAGCGCTGGTGCTCCTGGGTAAGAGGGCTAGATGTCAATGCCATGAGACAAAGCACAGAACATAAAGCGGAAAAGTCCGCAGGCAGGGAGCAAATGCACCTAACCCATCACGGCATGCAAACAGAGGGGATGATGAACCCTTTCCGTGATAACAAAACCCCTCCCTGATCTCTGAGCTGGAGTTAGGCATCCAGGACCTGTCTTTTCCTCTCTCTGTACACCAATTAGCACAGATTGTGTTCAGTTTCAGAGCTTGCCTGGTGAGATCAAGGTCTGCTGATGTTTCTTTTTTTTCTTTTGATGATAGAGGTTAAAGCAAGACCACGTGCCCCTTTAGAAACGCCAT